TCCAGTTGTGCTTCTTCGATCTTCCTTATCTCCACAACAATCAGCATCTGAAAAGCAGTTAACTATTGCTCCTTTATTTCCAGAATCTCATCGAAATAGTATTGCACACACTTATTTTCTTTCATCTTATTTTATCCCATTAAAATATTTTTGAGTATAAGGCTCAATTTTCTGTGACTTCTTTTCAATCTAAATGTAGACACTTTTTATTATTTGAATAAGCTATATAAATAATAAATGTATTGTTAATGCATGAGGAACTTTTAGTGAGGAGAGAAATAGAGAATAATAAAGGAAAAAAGAAGTCTATTATTCACTTAAGAATAGTACAAAATAAGGATAAATATTATGACTATTTATATACAATCTTAATTGGGTTTGAGCTAACACAACTTGGATTATATTTAAATATTAAATCTAATCAAATCTATTTTAATATTTCAATACACCCCCATAATCCAAGTTGTTGAACCTACGCTAGTCACAGTCGATCTGAACTATTCCTAATATCTTTCTTAAATTCAGGAATCTGTCGATCTTCGATCCTTTTGTGAAAATGTCGGTAAACTGTGCTTCACTTGAGAAATTCCTAACTTTAAGTTCACCTCAATTTAACTTTATCCTCAAGAAGTGAAATCTAACTTTGATATGTTTAGTTCTTCCAAGCAGAACTAGATTCTTCGCCATATATATGGCTGACTTGTTGTCGATTTGCAACACTAGAGATTTCTTTAATTCGACCTCCATTTCTTCAAATACATATCTGATCCAAATTTCTTGACATACAACATAGGATCTTGCTATATATTCATCTTCACATGATGATAATGCCACCACAGGTTGCTTCTTCGAACACCATGAGATTAGGGCACCAAATACTTGAAAGAAATATCCAATTGTACTTCTTCGATCTTCCTTATCTTCACACCAATCAGCATCTGAAAAGCAATTAACTATTGCTCATTTTTCTTCAGAATCTCATCGAAACAGTATTGTACATCTTATTGAACCCTTAAAATATCTCAAGATTCTTCTTGTAGTCTTCATATGTGACACTCTTGGTTCACTCATATATCTGCTTACTAATCTGACAGTGAAGCCTATATCATGTCGAATGTTGCACACATATCTCAAAGATCCCATGATTTGCTTGAACAAAATCACATTGACTTTATCTTCCTCTCCATTCTTCTCCAACTTCACCTTTGGTCCGACAAGTGAGGATGCAGGATTCGATTCATCCATTATGAATCTCTTGAGTGTCTCTTTGACATACTTTCTTTGACGTAGCACCATACTTTGCTTCGACATTTGAAATTCCATGCCTAAGAAATAAGGCAATGTTCCCAAAACCGACATTTCAAATTCCTCCATCACCAGCTCTTTGAGTTTCAGCAAGTTCTCCTAACTATTTCCAGTTACTAGTAAGTCATCGACATATAAGCAGATGATTGTTATATCTTGAGCTACAACCTAAACATAGACACCATACTCAGATTTGCATTTGACAAATCCCAATTCGACTAAGTATGGGTCAATCTTCTTGTTCCATGCCCTAGGTGTCTGCTTGAGACCATAGAGCGCTTTGTGCAACTTATATACTTTACTCGCTTCCTTCTGAATCACAAACTATGGAGGTTGTGTGACATAGACCTCTTCATCTAAAATACCATTCAGAAATGATGATTTCACATCTAAATGAAATGTCGACCAGTCATGATTACATGCTAATGCTACCACTAGTCGAACAATCTCCAATCTTGCTACTAGAGCAAATACTTCAGAGTAGACGAGTCCTTCTCATTGAAGAAATCCTCAAGCTACTAATCTTGTTTTATATCTTTCTATAGACCCATCAGCATTGTGTTTCAACTTGAACACCCACTTCACTTTCATAACTTTTGTATGTGTTGGCAATTCAACCAACTCTCGTGTATTTTTTTTTATTGCCTATAACTCTTCGACCATAGCTGACTTCCATTGTTTAATCTTCAAAGCTTCGTTATGGTTGATTGGTTCAACACCTGCAAGTAAAGCAAAATGAACTAATTCTCCATCTGGTATGACTTCATCATCACCTACTACTTCATAATCATGAAGTCTTGTTGGAAGAAATCTATTTTTTTGAGGTCTTTGGCTTATTTCAGCCACGGCCTCTTCAACTTCGTCTGTTTCTGGAATGTCAGCAACCGTTTTTACTTCGACTTCAATTAGATTCTTAGCAATTCCTTCGACTTTGACTTCACCAGTTTCTTCGTCAAAATCAGGGCTCGTCAATGGCTTGTTAATTGAATTACTAGAATTCCAATGTCAGTCAAAATTTTCATCAATCACAATATCTCGACTTAACACAATCTTCTCATTAATTAGATTGAATAGCCTGTGTCATACCCCAAATTTGCCCGCCCTATTTATACAGTCAAATAATTTTTAAAATTGGTTTTATAAATTTCTTTGGTTTACTTGCACTAATATTTTGAGTTTTTTAAATATTTATTTTCAATTTATTTTTGCTTATTTAAAAAATATAAAATAATTTATTTTAAATTATTTGTATTTTTAAAATAGCAAATACGTGTTAGCCTTCATATACTTTCAATTAATTTTTTATTTCGAATAAATAATATAGCACAATTGATAAGAAATAAAGCTTGTAAATATAAGGTAATGTGTTTGAATCTCATAGGTTCTATTTTGGATATTTATTTTATTATTTATTATTATTTTTATTTTTATTTTATATTATTTTCAAAAACCACAAAAATATTTTTTATTATTATTTTATCTTTAATTTTCGTTTTTCTCTTTTAGGTAGTTTTTAAATAATTTTATTTTTTATTTTGTACACTTTATAGTCAAAAAGAGTTAAAAAAATCATAAGAAATAAATAGGGTAATTTTGTATTCTAACTTTTGCATCAAGCTAATTCTTTTTCTATTTATATTTAATTTTGTCAATAAAAAACAAATGTGATAATTGATTTATTATTGTCAATTTTAATTTAATACATGATTTTATGTTATTTTTGAGAATCTAATTTTTTCATATAAATAGGAGACTTTTGTGCGCATTTGAAGGAGGTCAATTCATCCACAAAACCTTGTTTTTACTGTACGAATCTCACTACACACTTTGGTAACTTCTTCATCCTTTTTCTCTTTCCACATTTTATTTTCTTTTGCAATAGCCATACAAATAACCAATTCACTCATAAACAAAACCCACTTTTCAACCATTTTATACATAGACTTACACCTTCTTTTTTTTTACCATACAAAATCACTTATTTCTATCTTAAATCATATATACACTACTTTCACACCAAACAATAACCTTAAGCAATATCACCAAGATAAATCCATCCAACTTGCAAAATATCACTAAACAAAGTCATATGTGTCATACCTCAAATTTGTCCTATTAATTTCTAATTATTTTATTATTATTATTACTATTTTCTTTATAAGGTTTAGATTGTTGTTGATAAATTTATTGGGGGATTTAAACCTTAAAGAGGGAGTGATTTTTTTATAAAGGGGTTTATGGACTTTCTAAATCAGAAAGGTCCATGTAAAATTGATGATCTATTCAGTTTGCCTTACAATTACAGAGGAGGTGTATTTAGTTCTTAGTCCATTAAAGGGCGATTTGTATTTCTTACATGTTCTTGAAAAATTATTAAGGTTGTTGGCTCATTATTCTTCTTGAGCCCATTTTTGTTTTTATATATCATCATTATAATTATTTGTCTGATTATTAATACTATTATTTACATTATTATTATTATTATTAATTAAATTTTTTAGATATTATTTTTTGTACGAATTGACTAAAAGTAGAAATTAAAACAAAAAGAGTTTGAGAATCCTAATTAGTCCTAATGACGCCCTGTTGTTCTTCTTCGTCAACTACGCTACAAGCCCAAAGCCCAATAAACATTCACTGTACAAATTCAAAAGAAGGAAAAATACATTTGTAAACTAAAATCAAATACAATCTTTACAGAAACAAATCATATCAATTACATATACAAAATCAAATCTGAATTGAATCAAAAACGGATCAATCACAATATACAAATACATAATCAATCACAGATCTAAAATCTCTAATTTACAACAAAATCTTCTAATTCTTAACAGAATAAATCTACCCTAATCAACCAAATTCATAACGATAATTAATCTAATATTTCCTAATTCATCTAAAAAATTTTAAGAAAGGGGAGGAGAAAATTATAACAAAAAAGAAGAGAAGAAGCATGAGCGGTGCATCAATCTTCTTGCTTGAGATCTGGGTTTCAACTTCTGAAACCTTAGATCTGTGTTGTGCCACCGTCACCTTCAAGCCATCATCATCGTACTTGTCAAAAAGGAAGGAGAAAGAAATTAGAAGGGAGAATCAGAAAACTAGAAAATTAAGAATCACGGCAAGGAGAGGTAAGCCGGAAATCACTTAGCTTTTAGGGTTTTGATTGCATGATGATCGATGTTTAATTGTATGTTTGGGGTTTAATTTGAGGTTTTTGGGATTTCTGGGGTCAAATTAGGGTTAGGGTTAGGGTTCATTAGATTAGGGTTAAGGTTTTTAATACTAGGGTTAGGGTTCACCGCTGTTGAAGGTTGTTGGGTTTTTAAGGTTAGGGTTTATCTTGAACCCTTAGAGTTCTTAGGGTTCATATGAACCCAGACGACGTTTGTGTTTGAATCTCGTGGTGCCTTGGTGCAGTCGCCGGCGAAAGCGATTTTCGGCCGGTGGTGCCCAAGGCGGAGGCGATTCTCGGTCGCCTGAATTCTAGAGAGATGGGAGAGCATCTCTCTCTAGAATTTTGTTTGAGAGATGAGAGAACAAGAATAGAGAGAGAAAGAAAACGGGAAAATGAGGCCCATCGTTAGGCCTGTATTTTTATAAATCCTCATTGGTTTGTGTTTGTGTTTCCATGAACCTTACCATGTGCTTCCCATCAAAATCATTGGATCATCATCAGACGTCCCAGAAGCATGCGTCCATCACAATTATGTGATCTCTCCCACACCTTGCCCATTGGATCAGGTAGTTGTTTTGGACCTAGCCCATCGCTAATCACACCCTCCCTATTTTCTCAGTTTGCTACCACGCTAGAAAAAACACCCCCTATTGCATTATGGGCCCAATTCAATATCTTATCTTGGGCCCTTGCTGAACAAACCCCCTAGATTTGCTACTACGTTAGAAATTGTATCCCTCTGTATTTTTGGACCTGAATTCAATATCTGAATTCAATGCTCTGTTTTTCACACCCCTGATTTACTCAGCCCAAACAAAATACACTCCCATACGTTTTAATTAATTACTTTATTTTTATATTTTATTTATTTTTATATTATATTAATATTTTTATATTTAATATATTTAAAAATTCTGAAATTATTTTATTATTATAAAACTCAAATATTTATTTTTTTCTACTAACACATTCTTTAATTACTTTTAAAAATTGCATTAAAATTATTTTTTGTCATTTATTAAAAAAATATTATATATTAATATTTTAAAAAATATCTAACCAATACCAACATTTTTTTAATAATAACTTGATTAAATTCAAGAAAATTTTCAAAAATGATTATAGAGATCCTTTAAATCGACTGCGAACTTCGTCTAACAATTCTGTTATTTATACATCTAGGCTTGGTTCAAGGAAATTCAAAATATCTTCGTAATCCATAAAAAATACCAACCAACTACAAACTACGAATTAAGAATGTGATTCCTCATAAGAAGTTATGTAGACATACGACTAAAATCGTGATAAGTTCCTCTAATAAAAATTAAAATCCTATTTCATAAGTTATAATTTTAAACTCTAGTATTCTTGCGAATAAAGTAGATGAGGATGCCTAACACCTTCCCTTCATCTAACAAGGAGTCAAACAACATAGAATATCTGACCAAATTAAAATTATCCTTTATATTCTATTCATAAAGATAAAAATTATGAATGATTACTCTCATTTTAAAACTGATTACAAGAACATGTAAATATTCAACCTACAATAGGAGATCAACAACCCAAAAGAGAAAGAACAAAAAACAGAAGCAGAAAAGAGTAAATTGGAAGTCATCGTTGTTTCATACAAATCGCCACAACAATGATCGTAACGCTTTCCTCCATGCCGTAGATTCCATTTTCACCGTTAACAACACCATCGAGGACGACCAGCGGCGAGACCACCGCGCAAACCCGTCCCCGCCGCGAGCACACAAAGCGACGCTGCAACCATCCACCAAAGAACCGTACGACGCAGCAGCCAAAACCGACAAACACCGTCACTGTCTAATTGAAGCTGCCATTAGCGGCCGCTCCTCACCACCGGCCGCCGCAGTCCGCTCATGAAGACACACCTTCATGTTGTTGTTTCAAGAGAGAAGAAGAAAGAAGGATTGTGAAAACAAAAGAAAAGTGGATTTATGTGTTATAGATATCCTGTGTTCAGATAGATATGTGTATTGTTGTTTTTATCTTCACTTCTTTTTTAGTGGAACAAGTGGCAAGATAAGATTGGTTTAAGTTAAATTTTGTACTTTGAGTAGAGTGGACCGAGTATTCATATGAAATGGGGGAGGGGTCACCGTTTTTTTATTATTATTTTTGGAAATTCTGGTTTGTTATTTATTTGAAGACTTTGGAACGGGCTGTAGGTCCATGTTTGGGTATTGTACCATCATATTCTAATCTACACCTCTCTGTAGGGTTTTATTTCATTTAGTTTTAATTAGTAGTTTAACTTAAATTTGATAGTTAATATGTTTTATTAAACTAATTCAGGTTGGCTAGTCTAATTCGCTAAAGCACGTTTTCTTATTCAATTGATTTAGTTACTATTTGGTACATATTTTAGGATTCCCCTCGATTGGATACCACTTCTAAAATTGATATGTGATTAACTTGTACATAATTCATAAGTCTCTTATATATAAATTTAATTTTTTTAAATTAAATTAATTCAACATTTTTATAAATAATAGGATATACATTCTCAAGTAATTATTGGTTGACTTAACGTCTACTGATTAATTATTCATATTCAAAACTTCTAAAAATCACCGACAAATCAAATGAATTTCCTCGTCTAGCGCGACTTAATTTCAATAAGGATCAACACCTTATAAAAATCGATTTCTTCGTCTCGCGCGATTTAGCTCTGATAAGGATCAACTATTTATCAATCAATCAAACTTAACACAACTAACCAATTTTAAACTATTTTTTACTAACATAACAAAAACACCAAGATCATTTTAAAAAAGGATTAAATAAAATTACTATCAAACTTAAATGCGAATTGCGTCTGCGATCACTCAATTTTTAAAATCAGACAAGGTTCAAGGATAATTCGAAAACAATTCTGTTCTGGACTAGGCCGGGCTGGCCCAAGAGCAACAATAAAGGCCCAATCCAAACGAACCTGCTAGGAGTCACGCCAACCTAAGGACCATAGCGTGCCCGACATATGTCACTGGGCGACAACCCCGTCCTCGTGCTGCCCAGCTCGACCTCAGCTCGAGCGCTCCTTCGACAGCGGACACGGTCCACTACGCTCTCAACGGGACTCCGAAAAGACCGCGTCCCTGTCCGCCCGCACTTCACGCAGAACATCCAGGAAGGGGACCACGTGCGGGTCCCCACTACGCACGTAGAACCTGGCAGTTCCTCCATTGGGCCAAACCTGCCCGGCCCAATGAAGGAACCTTGGCCCAGCGCTGGGGGCTATAAATACCCTCTGTTTCCAGAGGATCAGGTATTCATTCTATCATATATACTCTCACTTTGCCTGCTCGTACTCTTACTCACTTTAACATCGGAGTGCCTTGCAGGTACCCCCCCCCCCCCCCACCTCGTTCAAAACTTCAGCTCGGAGCCAGCCGTGACGGTCCAAGTCTGATCAGGTTAGATCAGTGGCGCCGTCTGTGGGAAACTAGCTTCCCCGTCTTGCAAACTCAAAGACCAAAGCTCAAATTCAACTACCTGTCATGGCTGATCAAACTCGCGATGAGCAGAATGTCCGTGTCGTCGACACTAATAACGGCACCGCGGACAAAAACGGACACCTTGATAACGCCGGCGACCCCGACCACAACACCATTCCTGCGACAACCGCCCCCGGAACTTCCTCCTACAGGGACGGAGCTACTGCATCATCCTCCTCGCTCCCTCCACCACTTGAAGACGACCCGACGGCCCTCGCACACTACAGAGCTTCCCGGTTCCATGAAGTCCCCGTCCCCGCCGGGGCGGATGCCACGACTCAAGCGCTATTCGCAGCAATTAATCAAACGAACTATCTCATCTTCGCCCAAGGGGAAAGACTGAAGGCGCTTGAAGACGAGCGAAGACCCCCGAGGAGGCATCGGAGACCCCATACTCCCCCTCCTCGAGTAACTGAAGCTCGACATCCATCTCCCCCGCGGAGACATTACAGGGAGACCTCTCGAAGCCAATCTCCCCAGCCAAAACAGAAACGGCCTCATCTGGAGAGGCAGCCCATCATTCAAGCCGGAGAACCTTCTCGTGACCCGGCGAGACAAGAAAGAAGACACTCCGGAGACGGACGTGTGAAATTCAACCACTGAGCATCCCGCTCAAGAGAGACACAGCACGACCTGGACCGTCGTGACAGACAATATTATAGGTCCCCATCTTTATCTTCAGAGAGAAGTGACGAGGACGACCCCCGCGGTCCCCTGTCGCAGGCTATTATGGAAGCACCCAGTCCCCCGGGCATGGAGAAGCCCCCTCACCTGAAGGAGTACGATGGAGTCGCGGACCCGGTCGACCACATAGGCGGGTTCGAGGCTATGCTTCATTATCACAATGTCGGGGGTCCCATCAAGTGCCGTCTATTCCCCACGACTCTCAGGAAGGCGGCAATGGACTGGTACAAAGGACTCGCCCCGGGCTCAATCACCTTGTGGAGGAACCTGAAGAACCAGTTCATCAGTTCCTTCACAGCTTCTCGGCGGCATCCGAAGACCGAGGCGGCTCTCGAGGCCATCATCCAAAGACAGGATGAAACCTTGAGGGAATTCATTAACCGCTTCAACCGGGAAGCAATACAGGTCCCCTGTGCGGACCATATGAAAAGATATTTGCTGGAGAGAGGCCTCCTCCCCGGCACGGAATTCAGAAAGGTCGTGGGTATCGAGCCACCTCGGACATTCGATTCCCTCCTTGAAAAGGCCCGAGCATACATGGACTACGAGGAGAGGGAAGCGGCCAACAGAGCCCGAGATTCCAGGACTCGTGGTCCCAACAGCAGCACGCGCCAAGAAGATCCTCCTCGGCGAACCGGGGAGAAAAGGAAGGAAGACAGACCCCGAGAAGTCCGGGAACAAAGAGGACCTTCGGGGCGTTTCACTGAGTACACTCTGCTCACGGCTTCCCGCGAGCGTATTGTGGCGGAGTGTGCCAGCACTAATTTCAAGGACGGCGGTGTCAAACGTCCCCGACCTGCTCCCGCTAAGCCCGGAGCAAACAAAAACAAATATTGTTAGTACCATAGGAGCCATGGTCACCTGACTGAGGATTGCGTCCACCTCAAGGACGCCATTGAAACCCTCATCAAGGGAGGGAGGCTCGCGCAGCACCGGCGAAACGACGCTCCCCGTCGTGACGCCCAAGAAACCAGGGAGCCAGAAGAAGACGCCCGACCATCTGACGAGTCGGTGCCCATCCAAACTGCCTTCTCCGTGACCAGGCCCGAGGACTTCGACTTCCCCGAGCACCTGCAGGAGCCGCTTACAACGCACAGCAGGTGGGAATACTTCCCCTCCGCCCTGGTCATCAACGGCGGCGGGTTCAACGACTTGACCATCAATTCAGCCAAGAGGAAGCTGGACGAACTGGTCGACGCGGCTCCCCCGCAAACAGTGACGTTCGAAAGGGTGAAGGGCGGGTCAGAGCCCATCACCTTCTACCTAGAAGAGCTCCCCGGCGGAGCCCCGAACACGGTCATCCCCTTACTGATAAGGGCAAGAATGGCCAATTTTGATGTGCATCGCATCCTGGTCGACGAAGGGAGTTCCGTCAACGTCATGTACAGCCAACTGTTCCGAACCCTTCAGCTGGACGACTCACATCTTTCGCCATATGTGGGTTCAGACTTACAAGGTTTCAACGGATCGACCTCCAAGACTTGGGGATATGTCGAGCTTCTGGTTACGTTCGGAGAAGGGACGGCTACAAGACAAGTCAAAGTACGCTTCCTAGTCATCGACTGCCCGTCTCTATACAACTACATCTTGGGGAGACCAACACTGGCAGAGCTGACGGCGGTACCCTCGACCGTCCACCTGAAGATGAAGTTCTACACCAAGAGGGCACGAGTAGCTACTATCCAAGGAGACCTAGCCGCTGCCCGCAGGTGCTTCAACTCCGCTTCTAAAGGACGTGATACTGTCGACATAGGGACCAGACCCGCCAAAAGGACAAGACACAAGCCCGACAAGAATGCATCCCCCGAGGAAGAAGTCCAGAAAGCTCCACCAAAAGTTGATTCCATAGCTCTGGACACTCGCTTCGACCAGGACGAGTCATCCAGCGGCGAGCAAATCCGACTCCGACCAATACCGGACGGGGATTTTGAACTCGTCCCCCTCGGCACAGACCCGACCAAGGGAGTGAAGATCGGCAAAGACCTCCCCGACTTGGCCAGGAAGCAAATCAAGGCCTGTTTGCGCGAGAATGCTGATCTGTTCGCCTGGAGCGCCGCGGAGATGCCCGGACTCGACCCTGAGGTCGCCTGTCACCACCTTGCCATTGATCCAGCCGCTAAGGCCGTAGTACAACGTAGGCGTAGGCAGTCTCCAGAAAAAACGGAGGCTGCCGAGAAAGCTGTAAAAGACCTCCTAGAGGCAAATTTTATCTCTGAAGCCCGGTATTCCACCTGGCTGTCAAATGTTGTACTCGTGAAAAAGAATAATGGAAAATGGAGGATGTGCGTTGATTATACCGATCTCAACCGGGCTTGCCCAAAAGATGCTTTTCCTTTGCCTAACATAGACATGCTGGTCGACAACTCGGTCGGCTACAAAACGTTGTCGTTCATGGACGCCTACTCGGGCTATAACCAAATCCCGATGGCCCTCGGCGACAAGCACTGCACAACATTCATGACCAGCTCGGGCAATTATTACTACAACGTAATGCCCTTCGGACTGAAAAATGCCGGGGCGACTTACCAGCGCATGATGAACAAAGTTTTCCACAAACAGATCAGCGACATGCTCGAGGTGTATATGGACGACATGATCGTCAAGTCCCGAGCAGACACCGACCACGCAGCACACCTCAAGACAGTCTTTGCCCAAGCAAGACAATGTAAAATGAGGTTCAAC